AGCACGACACACACTCCTGCCTCACCAAGTTGAAAAATGGAGAAAAAATTGCCCCCAAGTGTGCCAACTGCGGGGGCAAACACCACGCCTGGAACCCTGGATGCTCCGAGAGGACAAAGAGGGTCCAGGCAAACCGACCAGCAGCAAGACCGGCCCCCACCGCCTGCACACCAGCCCCACCAAGTACCTTCGTGTGGGGAACCCAAAGGCCAAAACAACAAAGCCAACCTCCTCAGCCGGTCAACACCCAAAGTGCAGCCCAGTTTCCTGGCCTCACTACGGCCACACCTCAGCCACCCAAGCAGCAGACAACGACAACCACGAAAAAGACAAAAGAAGCACACACCAAGGCACCAGAAGGAATGATACACGTATCAGACCTAGCCAAGATACTGACAACCTTTGCGGAGGGCCTAGCCGGACTACTGGGCCACAAGATCCAACCCACACAGCTCAAAACACTCATGGGGAGCGTCCTCGGGCAAGTCGCCACAGCTCCAGCCACCTCAGTGGAGGACGCCACGCCGGTCCCCACACGAGTGACAGCCGAGGTACACTCTACACCGAAGAAGGCCACCAGAGAACCCAAGATACCGACAGCTCCCAGAAAGAAATTGGACGTTTCAACTCCCCTGAACCGAACCACAGCCCAGAAGGCAAAACCACAGAACAAGAAGATATGAACCTGATCCAGTCGGAATCGGACTTGGACATTTCCATCGAGGACCACCAGAAGTCCCCGATGAAACAGTGGTGGAAAACATCAGCACCCTGAACATCCTAACATGGAATGCTAAGGGCATCAAAAATAAGAAGCACCTCCTGCAAGAAGCAGCAGCCAAGGACAAGCTTGACATTATACTGCTACAAGAAACACTTCTACAAGAACACCACTGTTTCAAATTCAGTGGTTATAAGACATCCAGGAGGCATTTCACGCAGGCGTCAACAAGAGGAAGTATGATCTTGGTCAAGTCAAGCATACCCTCCTCCGAGGTCATGCAGCAATTTCCATGTGGGGAAAACATCGAGACACAGGCCGTCAAAGTAACCCTCAAAGAACGGGAATTAACTGTTCACAACATCTACAAGAACCCAAGGGGCTCACTGGAGGTGACTCAATTATTCGCTTCAGCGGCTGACCACGCCACACTCATAGGAGGGGATTTCAACGCACATCATCCCTTCCTAAGCTCGGTAAGCCCCACAAATGAAGACGGCCTACACCTATACACCACTTTTCAAGACACACCCGAGATCTGCCTCCTGAACACCGGAGAGCCCACCCACACTAGGGGAGGAAGGCTAGATCTAACCTTCGTCTCCAGTGCACTACAGCCTTCGGCCTCCTGGCAGCTACACCCCACGCTGACCAGCGACCACTTCGCCACCCTAACAACGCTGAAGGTGAACAAACTCCCCACTCCACTCCCGCCGAGATGGAGATACAATACCCAAAAGACAGACTGGGGACTCTTTAAGAAACACCTGGCTAAGTGGCGAAAAATCACAGCCGGCCTGAGCAGCACCCGTGGACGAGACAACCCTCCACCAACAATTGGTCGAGGCGTTTCACCAAGCGGCAGAAGAGGCTATCCCAAAAACAAAACCCACATCAAGACAGTACAATGATTACTGGTACTACTGTCCCAGGGTGAAAGAACTCAACCACAGAGTGAACATGGCCCGAAGAAACTACAGGAGACATCCCACGGCAACAAACAGACATCTCCTGCAAGTCATAGTTAAGGATACCAGGGAAGAGAAGGAGAAATAAAAAACGTAAGCTGGCTCAAGTGGTGCTCCGAACTGAACGAGCACACCTCCCTTGGCAAGATGTGGGCCCAGATCCGAAGGGCATCTGGGAAGGCAACACCACCACCACCAACCCATCCCAACCCAGAAGAGGAAGCCGAGAGACTTGCAAAACTGTTCTCTGACCGAGCAGCAACGAAAAACCTCCCGAGACAGGCGGAGGAGACACAACGGCGTCTGCGACAGGTCAGACTCCAGATGATCGAAGAGGCCTGCAACAGTGAAGATGACACCGACAGACCTTTCAACCAGCAAGAACTCCAGAAGTCGCTAAAACGAAGCAAGGACACAGCACCAGGGGCCGACAGGATAACCTACTCCATGCTTTCCCATGCTGGAAAAGCCGGACACGAGGCTTTGCTACAAGTCATCAATGCTTCGTGGACAGCACAAAGACTTCCACCGGAATGGAAGAAGGCAGATATACAGCCCATTCCGAAGCCCAGAGAACCAGACAAACCGAGACCCATCTCCTTTCTCAGCTGCACAGCGGAGACGGGAGAAAGAATGGCTCTCAACCGACTCAAGTGGAAAGTAGGCAGCCCACACCCTCACATCTTTGCTTACACCGAGAACACCGGCACAGGCAACAACATCGCCGAGATACTCAGCACAGTGGACTACAAACCAGCTCTGGTGGCCTTCCTCGACCTGGAGAAGGCCTTCGAACTAGCAAATCCACTGGCCATTATAACGACGCTCGCTGAAAAAGGCGTCAAAGGAAGGTTGCTGGGGTGGATCCAGAACTACCTCACACAGAGAGAAGCAAGAGTACGTTTTCAGGGAGCAACCTCAAGCTACAGGGTCCATGAAAAACGGAACCCCACAAGGAGGCATCCTCAGTCCAATGCTGTTCAATGTCCTGATGAAAAATCTTGTCAAACTTCCTTTCAGACAAACAGCCAAGCTCCTATGCTATGCAGACGACTTACAGCTTATAGTAAGAGGATCAAACAGACTAGCCAACACGCAACACGCACTCCAACTTATAGAAGAGGAGTGCAACAGAATTGGACTCAAGATAAAAGCAGCCAAGTCGAAAGCGATGGCCATCTGCACAGACACACCAGACAAGACGCTCTCCATACAAAACACGCCAGTATTCTGGACCAACACCCACCAGTGTCTTGGAATCTGGTTTGACCAGAAACTCACTTTCAAGCCGCAACTCGAGTATCTCAGGCACAGGACGAAGAGCAGACACAATATAATGAGGTCGCTCACCAGCACAACCGCAGAAGCAAACCTTCATGTGCTCAAAGCCTACTACACGGCCGCCATCAGATCGCTGGTAGATTACAGTGCTCCAGCACTCATTGGACTGAGAGAAGACCAAATAGCTAAGCTAGAAGTCATCCAAAATAATGCTCTCAGGACCATGCTCAGAGCACCCATGTGGACCAGAATTTGCAATTTGCAATTGGAAACTGAACTACCACCCCTGGCAGTAGGAGTCAAGCAGGTGACAGCCGGTCTCCTCGCCAAAATCTGTAGATCAGATAAGCCCACAGCTGCCAAAATTCGAATCAGTGCCTCCCTCCACCTCGACCACAGAGTGCGAGGGGCCACCTGGTCGCACGAGGCAAGCGAGGTCATCCGACACCTGCAAGCAGAAACACTCGTCAAGAACAACCAAGACACACGAGACAATGGTTACGTAGTTCCTCCACCACGGAGCCCTCCACCAGCCACATTCAAAATTACCGACCTAGGTGATAGCAAATCCAACCTCCAGAAGGAGGACTTCAAAAAAATAATTCTGGAAGCCATAGCCACCGAGACACCGGCTGATGCAGCATCATACTTCACAGACGGCTCGGTGGATCCAAAACATCATACATCCGGAGCGGCCTTCTACACCCAAGGTCAGACCCTCCGATGGAGACTTTCTAACGACTGCTCCACCGTACAAACAGAGCTGGTAGCAATCTCAAAGGCCCTACAACACGCTGCAACACAACACAACAAGTCCATCATAATTCACACGGACTCGAAATCGGCCATGCAGGCGCTGCAACACAGTCAACCTAGAGACAACGTCCACATCATAACCTCGATCCTCGCACAGCTACAGGAATTCCAAAGACAAAACCGCCCAGTCGTCTTACACTGGATTCCCAGTCATGTAGGGATCGGGGGAAACGACGTGGCAGACGAAGCAGCCAAGGCAGCCACACGTTCTAGTAGCGTATACATTCAAGTTCCAGCAAGTGTGCAACAGATCAAGAATTACCTCAGAAAGACTAGCAAGCTCCACATCCAAAAGAGCTTCCTTCACGCATTCAACGCTGGTTCCCAATCAGCCAAATGGTACCTGGCGGCTACAAAAGGGGAACCACCTTTCACAGACAGGAAAACACCAAGACAAACCCAAGTTAGCCTTCATCGACTACGACTAGGGTACAAGTGCTCCTGGCAGATGATCGGAAATGACGTCATGGAATGCACCTACTGTCAGGAGCCAGCAGCCAACCCACTTGAACACTATCTCCTCGACTGCGAAGTCACACAAAGCCTCCGAAACAGAACTCAAAACTTCCAAGAAGCACACACAACACCAGCGGCCACTCTAACCCGAAAGGCCCAAACAAACCACATTCACCACCTTCTCCGGGTCATCACACGATACCCACCACCCAGATAGCTTAGAAAGTACCCTCTCCCAGCAAGTGCGGACCCCAGTTCGGGGGGCGCGCCACTCCGAAAATGACCACGTCCAAGAGTGGGGGTTGGTGGTAAGCGTCCACTGATCGGGTGTCCGCTCACACTTGCAACCTGCAGTATCCTTCCATATCTGCAGGTAGGACAACCTCCAATCCCAATCCGGTCTGGCTGCTCCTGGAGCTCCAGCTGGAACCACCGAACGGGCCGCCTATAGGCAAAGGCCCGTGTCGGACTACGGTCCGACAATCTCAACAACAACACAACAACGTGACCTGCCCTCTTCTTCTACCTACAGCCACGCAACACCTCCTCTGAGTAAGCTCCTCACCAACCAGCTCTCTCTACTCCACGCTTCTAAGTTCTAACCACGCAGCAGCTTCCCAGCACCAAGCTGCACTGTACATCCAATACAATATATGTACAGAGAACGCATTGTGAGTTTCCTTTCTCCAACACATCCTGAGTGTGAGACAACATCTCGAAACCCCACAACAACGTGTAATCTTCAACAGTGGAGGATCTTAAAATGGAGTCTTGTTAGAGGTAATGTGATTTCTCTGATGGCGATTACAGTTATTCTTACGTGCGAACCTCTTGTTGTAACGATACATATAGCGGTTTGAGCGGGTTGAGTTGTCAAAGTAGCCCAATGAGCCCTCATTGACTGTGTGCGAGGGAGTGGAGTTGTCGCCCGGAATGACGGTGTATAGAACGGTATGGGTACCGTTATTCATCGGTTTGGCAGGATGCATGCTGACGAGTGTGGCCTGCTCTATGGGTGGCCCGAATATGGGTTGCTCGAATGTGGGTTGCTCTATGGGTGGTCCGAATGTAGGCTGCACTAAGGGTGGGCCGAATGCGGGTTGCTCTATGGGTGGTCCGAATATGGGTTGCTCTATGGGGAGTCCGAATGTGAGCTGCTCTATGGGTGGTCCGAATGTGGGCTGCACCATGGGTGGTCCGAATGTGGGCTGCAATATGGGTGACAGTTGCATTTGTTTTATAACATTCATGATCGTGGAGGAGGTATTCTGTATTTCATCATACAACCCCTTGATCTGGAGACGCTTTGCTATTTTGAGGAAGGGGGAGAGTTCGTTCAGATGGATGTTAATCTCCCCCCGACTCATAAAGGAGAGTAACTCTTCCATATATTTGGCCGGTATGTCAACCAATAAGATGAGGGGGTGTTTACTAAGATTATGAAGGAAGGTATTATAGAAGAAGGTGCTGCATGTTATCAGGATCATCTTGTGAACGGCGAAGGAACGACCGGCACAGGTGAGGGTGACGTCGGTGAAAGCCTGTTGATCGTACAGCCTGCAGAACATGGAGACAATACTACTTTGGTGATTGTTTCATTTGATGTTGTATCGTTCGACCTCCATAATGCAACAAGCCACTACTGCTCCATACCCCGCGAGGAACGTCAATTGGCGAGTCATATCATTGTGTATTTTTGATGGTTTGCTGACATTTGTTATATTAATATATCTAATTTCGGGTATGTAGCATAAACAAAACATATTTGAGCTCTTAATTCATATAAATTATATAATTTTAGGCCGGTGAGACCACAATTGACAGGCGAGGATGACACTGCATGGGCTATTGAGATTCTGTAAAATCTGTGTTGGTAAATATTAAAAATAAATAATAATTTCACCCTCGTAATCAAAAATTCTCCTCAGATCAATGTTCTTATTAATATCTCGTTTAAAACATGAACAACAACCTGAAAAAAATATAAATACGGAAATGGATGGCACATTTTAATAATCATAAAATAAGGGTCCTAATCTATTACTCTTTCAAGCAAGTAAACCTAATGCAGTGAACAAAAATTACATCCATCTTTCCCTTCCTTCCTTCAAGAATTTGCCTTCTTTCTTCAATACCCTCCCTCCCTGATGAGCAGCTTACATTGTATGCCACCCCCCAGACCCCTCCCTCCCAATAAACGGACCTCCCCCAAGTCGACCCTTATCCCCTCTCCATTCAAAGCAGCACCGTGTAGAAAGACCCAGCCCGGCACAGGGGTTAGGTGGTGGAGTAGATGATTACATTTTACCGCAACTGTACAAGTGGAGAATGTTGCTCCTATTAAACATTACCCTGACAAAGTAAATCCAAAGAAAAGGGAGATCATGAGGAAGGAAATAGAATACATGCTTGAACACGACTTGATAGAACCCAGTAGTAGTCCATGGACCTCACCTTGTGTTCTAGCTCCTAAACCGTATGATGCTTCTTACAGATTTTGTAGAGATTTCAGAAAAATTAATAAGTTAACTAAATTAGATTCCTATCCCATTCCTAGAGTTGATTGTTTTGATCGGGTAGGGGATGCTAAGTTTGTGACTAAATTAGATTTGTTATAAGGTTATCGGCAGGTAGGTTTGACCGAAGAGGGCAAAGGTTATCTCAGCCTTTGTAACAATGGAAGGATTGCATTAGTATAAAATGTTACCTTTTGGCATGAAAAACTCTGGTGCATGTTTTCAGAGGTTAGTAAGTGAAGTACTGTGTAAAGGCTTGGACTTTGGGATACAAATCCCTTGCCAGCCTAATTAGGATCTTATAAAATGAAAGTCAAGAAATGGGTTTCCAAGGTGTAACAAACAACCGTAAAAATTGACATCTCTTTACTACGAAAATAATCACAATAAATGACACCACTCACACAAATATTAAATAAACAAATATGGGAGTCAAACAATTACGGGAGCCAAACAAAGTACAGATATTTCCTACGGCTGCAGCCCGGTGGAATGTTCCGTTGACGCGGTGGTCCGCTCTCAGGGGGAAGGTCCAGGACAGCTTTCTCAATTGGTGCCAGTGTTGGTGGGCGATGTCTTGCCACACTGGAGAGACGCCAGGGCACGGACGGTGGATAGGGCGTGGAGGAAGTGGCGGTGAAGAGGCAGCCGCGGTAGTAGCTGGAGCAGGTGTCCGAAGATTGACAGCCAAATAGTGAAGGGCTGGGTAATCAGCCCACGAACCCTAGGAGCCTCAGATGAGTACACGACCAGAGCTTGAACGAACAGCGGGGTGCAAGTACAGCTGTGTTGACGGTTGGGTCGTGTCTGATGTGTGACGAAACAGCAGCGACCTTCTCACCTCCGTCTACCCCCCATATTGGGGCCGTGAACAAGCAAACGAGCAGCGGACAACCATCCCGCTCGTTACCGCCCTTACATACTGCATGGTATTGAAGGTTATTCTGTATACAGTATATAGGAGTGGAAGGATCATTTGTCATTGTGAGAGGTTTGAATCATAGACCATGTTCGTTGTAGACTTTATTCTAACAGCGTCAGCTGGTGACTAGCAACCGGGCGCTGCCATAGACAAGCCCCCCCCACCTCAACATGGGAAAACATATCGTACGATGGTACAATCTACATCTACCCCCAAAGTTAAAAGTAAATGACAATGCACATTTGAACTAACAAAAGGAAAACAATGCACATAAAAACAACAATAATGCAAGAAAAACCAATCAAACAAAGAAAAACAAAACAAAACAAAACTCTAAACTAATTTTACATCACATATACACTACACCACGTAGTCCATCAATCAGCCCGGGGGCCTACGGCCTCTCCTGGGCCTGGCCGCGCTCGACTGGGGAGGGGCCGGGGGTGCGAGCGAGGGCGCGGGTACGGAGGGCACAGCAGAAGGGGGGCCAGGAGGCACAGCTTGGTGCACCACAGGAGTAGTAGGCACAGGTGTGGAGCCGTTTCGCAGGTGGCGTCTGTTGTGGATGGACACCCTGCCACTGCCACTCAACCTGACGGCATACTGCCTGTGAGGGCGGGCTTCCACTACTATGCTTGTCCTGTCCCAGAGCTTGGCAGCTGCGTCCTGCACACGCACATGCGTGCCCACGGCTAGGGGAGCCAGCTGGCGGGACACCTCTCCCTGCGACAGAAAGACCCCATCCTGTGTTTCAGCCAAGCGCATCTCCCTCATACGAAGTGCCCGCTGCCAGTGCTGGTCCACCTTATAGTGCTGTCTGGCCATGGGAACGCCGTCACGGAGCTGGCGGCCGTTGGCGAGTTGGGCGGGCGACTTGTTCACCCCCCGCAGAGGCGTGTTCAGGTACTGGAGGAGGGCCTGGGATGTCCTATCGCAGTCCAGGCGACCCCCGGGCCCAGAGTAATCCCTGAGGAGCCTCTTGCCGGCCTTGACCCCAGCCTCTGCCCTGCCATTGGACTGGGGGAAGTGGGCCGACGAGAGGCACACCTCGCCCCCCAATGACTTGAGGAAATCTGTCATCACAAGGCTGGCAAGGTTGGTACCTCCATCTGTAGAGATCTGCTCAGGTGCCCCCCCACCTCGTGAAGTAGGCCCGTAGACGGGCAATGATTTTTCCAGAGGTGGCCTCGTTGGGGAAGTGGGCGATCTCCAGCCATCCTGTGAGTCGGTCAGCATATGCTAGGTACGTGTGGCCCTGCAGGTGGAATAAATCGGCCACCACTTGTTGAAAGGGATAGTCTGGAGCTGGGGTCAGAACCAATGACTCCGGAGGCTGGGAAGGGGCGTGGGGTCTCGCAAGCAGCACACCGGGACCGATGATACTGCAGGTCACCCTCCATGCCAGGCCAATAGACAGACTGCCGGGCCTGCCTGAGCATTGAGTCGAGGCCCTGGTGCCCCACGTGCAGGTTAACGGCAACCCGGTAGCGGAGGGAGTAGGGGATGACAAGGCGCACGCAGGTGACCAAACCCCTGACAACAGCCAACCTGTCCCTCACCGAGAAGTACGGGCGCAGACAGGCCACCTCCTGTGACTTGTGGGGGTGCCAGTCGCCCGCCAGCACCCTCAACACTAGAATGTGGTACACTGGGTCGTCCGCAGCCGCTTTGCACACTGTGTCTTCGTTCATAGTGATACACCCATCCTGATCCAGTGCTGTGATTGTGACTGCACACACTGCAGCGCACAGGTCCTCCTCTTGGTCCATGTCCTCCACGTCGGGCGCCGCCCTGAGGGAGGGGAAGAGGGATAGGGCGTCAGCTGCACAGTTCCGCTTCCCTAGCAAGTACTTGACCGTGAACCGGTAGTGCAGGGTCTTCTCCTTGAGCCTGAACAGGCGCGGATTCGCCACATCCGTAAGGGCTCTATCCCCTAGCAAGCCAACTAAGGGGCGGTGGTCCGTCACCAGAATGAGGTTCGGGCAGCCAAGGAGGAACAGCCTGGCCTTGCGCAGGCACCACACCACAGCCAGGGCCTCCCCTTCTACTGCAGCGTAGCCGGCCTTGGCCGTGCTCAGATGTCGGCTACCGCACAGAGCCAACCGCCACCCTCCCCTGCAGCAGAAGGGCGTCTCTGGAGAGGCACAGGCACAGTATTGTTGCAGGATGACGAAGTTGATGCCCTCCCTGCTCCAATCCGTGACAGCTGCCGTAGGCCTGGATTTATCGTAGTACATCAAGCCGTCCCTGGCCAACTGACAGATGGTGTCCTGGGCTTGGCGAAACTTGAGCTGCAGCTGGTCGTCCCAATACACCCGCTTACCCACTGGTTTCTTGAGAAGCTCACGGAAGGGCGTCCATCACAGGTGCAGTGGCAAGGAAGGGAGCCAACTGGTCAACCAGGCCATGCCAGGACCTGATGTCAGTGATTGATGGCTGATCAGGCATGGGGAAGTCCTTGATGGCTGACAGACGTTGGGCAGTGGGCTGGTAGAGGTCCCACCCAAAGAGGAAACCCACAAACTCGGCTTCTCTCCTGCAGAACAAGAACTTTTCTGGTTTCAGTGTGATACCTGTGCGAGCGCGGGTCTCCAGAAAATTGTAGGCGTGCCAGAACGCCCCCTTCACACTGGAGTCATAGAGGAGAGTGTCATCTACTCACTTGTACTTGCGGGGCACATCCTGAATAGCATCGTCAAACCTCTTGGTGTAGGCATCTGACGCTGACCAATGTCCCATGGGTGTCCTGCAGTATCGAAACGGCCCCACGACGTGATGAACGTGGTCAGGCCTCTACTCTCCTCCTCCAACTCCACCTGATGAAATCCCCAAAAGGCTTCGGCGACGGTTTTGAACGAGTTTGCTGGCACCCCAGACACCATGTCGAATGGTGCAGGTGTGTGGTGCGTCTCCTTCGGACAGCTTGCATTGAGGCGTTGGAAGTCTACAGGGTGCCTGGGCTGACCGTTTTTCTTGGCCACCACGACCATCCTGGCGCACCACTCCGTAGCCTCACCAGCAGGCACTGGCTGGATGACTCCTCTCCTGACGTTCTCTTCCAACTGGGCCTTCACCTCCGCTTCCCAGTGTTTCGGAACGGGAGCAGGTGTGTGACAGGCGTAGGGGGTCGTGCTGGATGTCAGGTGGATACGGCGAGGGGAACCAGTCATGACTGGCAGTGGGGATCTGCTGGTGTTGAATGCGGTAGATGAAAAGTGCGTGAGTAGCCATGCCTCCAGCCTGGCCACATTCTCCTCCAAAGGAGGCAAGGGTATCTCAACTGGCCTCGGCGGGAAACGGATGTTCTCAGGTAAAGGGTTCGGAGGTAGGTCGTCGGCAGTGTGCTGCTCCCCTCCATTGCTCACAGCAGCCACAGCACGTCTATGGAGCGGGAAGTCGACAGGCACCAAGTTGAGGCACTTGCAGGCCTCCAATGACAGGTAGAGGGCTTTGGTGTCTGCACGAAGTAGATCTCCTGGACGGTGGACCCCTCGTCCACACCGAGGCGGCAGGGGGCGGACCCCAGATACTTGAGCTGTTTGTTCGCCACATCCCTCAGGCCATTATGGGCCCGAAGTTGCCCCGGACACAAACCGATGTCCCGGAGCAGGGATGCCTCTGCCACACACACCATAGCACCCGTGTCAGCCACAGCCAGCACAGGATGGCGGGGGAATTGCCCCCAGCCTGGGTCACGAACACTTGTAACCTGGGATGGCGGGATAGCTGGGTTGTTGCCACTGTGACAGCGCCTGACACATCCACAGGAGCACTTAGGGCTGACTTGCTTCTGCAACACCTTTTGAAGTGACCAACCTTAGAGCAATTGCGACATGTGGCCCCACTTGCAGGGCAGTTACTTTTACCAGAGGCATGTGACACGTCGCAGTTACCACAGTGAGCGCGACTTGGGTGTCCAGGTCGGGCGGCAGCTACCTCAGACTCACCCGTGACGTCATCACCAACCGCCGCTGCCTCCGCGGCTGTTCCCACCACTGCCTGGCCAGACGTACGACACAATACACCAGCATCTCTCACTGCTGCCTCGAATAACATACACTTGTTTCTGAGCACTTCAACACTATTATAACTCGAGTACCCCTGGAAAATTTCCCTTTTCAACACTGGGTTACTCAGGCCCACCATAACTTTACGTAGTAGCATGTACTCAGAGAGATCGTTATCACAGGTGGGACATTTAAATTCACACTCCACTGTCTCTGCGAAGCAGAGTTGAAAATACCTTTTCATGGGCTCCTCTTCACCTTGTTTGCTGTTGAAAATCTTGTTCCATTTCACATTTAGGTTTGAAGACTGAAGAACCATTCCACTGATGACATCCAGGGCTTCCTTGGGCGAGAGCTGCTCCCACTGGCAGCTGGGGTATCTCGAGTCAATCACCCTTTGGAGAGCAGGGACGCAGTTCAGGCAAATGTGGAGTGTGGCCACCAGTTGTGACCACCCGTTCAACAGCACCCATGACTCCATGGACCGCCTCCATGTCCTAAACGCAGCTGCTGGCATTTCTGCCTCACACTTCTCTGGAGCGACAGCTGCTGAGGGCTTCATGACCGGCATAGACGCATGACCACCGCCAGCAGCTAGAGACGCCATCTGAGCCATCAATGCACTCATGGCCTGCTGCTGGGCGTGCGTGGTGTTCTCCGCCGGTGTAGAGATGCCCTGGCGTCCCCATAAGGGCGTCGAGAATCGTGGACGTGTAGGGGCCATGTCAGCTTTCTTGTCAGGGCTGTAATGGCGCGTCGGGCCCCGGGATCCTACTCACTGCGCCCTGTGAGAGGTTTGAATCATAGACCATGTTCTTTGTAGACTTTATTCTAACAGCATTAGCTGGTGACTGGCAACCGGGCGCTACCATAGACAAGCCCCCCCCCCACCTCAACATGGGAAAACATATCGTACGATGGTACAATCTTACAGTCATTTATCACAAGAGTGTTTAACAGATTAGATAAAAGGCTAACGTTACTGTGAATTTGATGAACATTGATTTTGTAAAATCTCAAGTCGAATATTCATATTATGTGGTAGGCCAAGGAAAAGTGAGACCAATTAATGCCAAGGTTAAAGGTATTGTAATGTTTCCTGCTCCCTTGAGTAGGAAGGAGTGTTAAGATTTCTAGGGATGAGTGGGTATTATTGGAGATTTTGTAAAAGCTTTTCAATTGTGGCATGGACTTTGACCAGACTGTAGTAAAATAAAGTTAAATTTGTAAGGGCCATCTATTGTGAAGATGCTTTCATTAAGATTTAGAAAATGTTGTTTAATGCCCCAATTTTATCAACTCCAAGTTATGACAAACCATTTAAGTTATACATTGATGCAAATGATGTTGGAGTAGGCGGTGTTTTGATCAAGAGAGGCTGGGTATTGATCATACATTATGTCATTTTTCAAAGAAGTTCCTGTCATACGAAAATAACTATAGTACTGTTGACAAGGAAACTCTAGCTTTGATTTTGAGAATGAATAATTTTGATGTTTATTTGCAGGGTTCTGGAACCCAAGTTCTAGTGTTTATAAACCATAATCCTTTGGCAATTTTACATAAGATGAGGAAAGTGAATCAACGTCTTACCAGCTGAAGTTTTGTGTTACAAGAATATAATTTTGTTATTCAGCACATCAGGGGAAATTATAATAGTGTAGGTAACGCCTTGTCTTGCATTCCAGTCAGTCATGAGGGGGATGTTACACATGTCTATGTATTCACATAATATTAAGATGTGTGTTATTAATATTCTAATTCTAAAAGATGTACAGGTGTGCAACTTATTTGTTTACATTTTTGATGTTCCTTCCTCGAGGGTGCTGTAGCATGGAGCTGAGAGATCAGAAAAGTGACTGTAATCTTATTCCATCCATTATACATCTCATGTTTTGGCATCGATTTGTCCATCAGTGTTATGAGTGAATGTTGGGTGATACTTTTGAGAATGGAGAATGAAAGAAGAGCCATGTTATGGGATTAAGATAGATAAATTACCAAATTACTTGGATCACAGAACCATGCAGTGTTATGTTATCTGTGCTACTGTTTTACTAAAAATATAATAGGTGTTAATTGTTTAAGGTGGTTTTTCTTTGGTTCCTGATTTCACTTTGCACAATTCAATAAATGATTTCCTTGGATGTAATTTCGCAGAATGGAGGTGTTATAAATGTTATCCTCGACTGTCAGCTATAGGTAGCAAGATTTGTCTACATGATTCTGGTCTGTTAACCAAAGCTGTTATTTCAGAATAAGTCTGATTAACGAGCCTAGCAGTTGAGGCACTGCAGAAGCTAAGAAGAGAGTAATTCAGTAGTGGCTATAAAATATCAAAAGCCTAATATTTAATACTCTTTGTCACATTGGAAATTCAGTGAACTTTGGTTTTTCATGTAGCTCTTCATAAAATAAAAAATATATATGTTAAATAGTTTGGTGCTTCACAACTTTCAGATATTGTTTTTGGCTTCATCCATAATCTCATAATCCATCACTAATTCACAGAGAATTAGCAAGTAATTTCATTCCTTGACGCAGAAACGTCACCACAAGTTCTTTTGATGACTGGTTCATTTAAAATTTTTTGGAGAAGACGCTAAACCCCCTTGCAACTGATTGGCTGATGCATAATGGCAGAAGAAGGGAATACTACAGCTCCTTCTAATTTCAATAATATATATATTTTTTGAATAATTTACATCATTGCCAACCTTACGTCACTATCTAGATTAAATCTATAGCCCCATGGGATAAGAAAAGTGGGTTACTGAATATGTCGACTGTGTAAAAACTCAGTCGAAAAAGAAAGGTTACAAACTTCAGCTCGCCGGAATTGCTTTATTCCATCACTAGGATGTCCCAACTGGTCAAATGATCACTTTTGCTTTTAGATGTCCAAATAGACTATGAGGCAGTGATATATTCCTAATATATTTATTCATATTATTGTTTGGGATAGCTCTACCTGACAAATTTTTAAACTGAATTTCTAAGGAATGTAAAGATATATACAATTTAAAACATGAGCTCTGAAGAAAAGATGGAATGAGTTTGCCCTCCCCCCCAAAATTAGTCGTCGAAACCTGCCGGGTACCGAGGTGTGTGGAAAGAACAGCTTTAACCGAACATCTCTTTATTATTGATAATGCAAATTAATACAAATTACATCAAACTGAAAAAGTAATAGATAAAAATACACTTTTTAAGTTATTTTAATCTGATCAAAACATTATATATTCCCTACAACTCATTGGATAAGCTGGGCAACGTTAAGTCGGCGGCTGAGTGTGGCTGTTTGGATTGTCAACTCGACTGGTGGCCAAAGTGACTCATTACTACTTCATGTCTGTGGCCCCTCGAGGTTTACCCAATCACGGCTCCACATTCAAGTAGGCCTGTAGGGGGCCTGGGTCAGTTTCGCCATGTTAAAAAAAATGACTTTAGTATGTTCTGCTGTTTCATAACCTGTAGAAAGGAAACGATTATACTGGAAAATCTCCTGTGCGGAATTATGAGATAACGAACTTGATACACTTTCCTATGGAGAATTACTTAAAGCAAGGAATGGATAATAATGTGAGTAAATAATACTAAAGAGAAAAAACAAACATCAAATTCTACGAAAATTATCAATGGTAATTCATTGAAAGTAAGCCCTGATCTGGAATTTTTTCTTGACTAGTCTGGCAAATTATTTACAGAGGTATGAATAACTTCTCAGGAACTCGGCCCTCTACGTCTTCCTCTTCCTTCGAGTTCTTGTAGGTACCCAGTGGTCCCGGGTCCGAGCTTCCAGCGCCTTCATTGGATACCTCACGGTCGTAACCACAGTGAGACTGTTTGACGGGTTTGAAGTACTCCACTTTCACGTCCTTGTGGTGCAGCCTTGCCTGTAGGGGGGTGAAGAATAGAGGTAAGTGATTGTCAAAGAATTTCCGCGTTTTAAATAAGTGAAAGAATGGTGTTTTGATGAAACATAAACATGGGCTTGATATTGTATGCTTAACATCCAAAGGGTGACATGATAAGTTGGGCTGGGTTCGTAGGTTGCAGCGGCTACCTGAAACTGTCGCCGTGGGGGATGTCGTAAGGATACCTCATCTATGTGAAATAGAAACAGGTGGAATATACAAATACAAAGTGAATAAAAACAAAAAATTACCATGTCAGAATCTGTTGAATGCTGGTGTTATCTTTATAAAAAAATACGTCACACAATCGAACTAATCATACATAACTTGGTCTATGCGAGTGATGGTTACAAGTGTTCCCTGAAGAATGCAGTGATGGGTAGGGAAACACCGGGTAACACTGAAGTCCGTTTATTATAGATGAGAGAAATACAAGTGGTGACTAGCGTGTGCCATGCACGGCTCACACAGTCAGACTGAGACTGCCTTGCCATATGGCAGCCTCGGGGCAATGTTGCCACATAACGTGCAGTGATGCCACGTGATTATATATATAAATGCTACTCGGCACAGTAGCTTATGTACAGGGTTGCTACTCGGCACAGTAGCTTAGATACATAACCTACAGCGAGAGCCAAATTGGTCACACTGAGCTACACATACTGATGGTACTATCATCACTTACATATACATACTTATGGTACTATTAACACTTGCACCCACATACTGATGGTACTATTTACACTTCACCCACATACTGATAGTAATATCAGTAAAATTATCTGCCAATACACCTTTTACACTTTCAGAATTTAAAATGTTTTGAGTTCCCTGCAAAATTCTCGTAAGTATTCAGACAGGATTTTGTGATAATAATCGTAATTCTCAGAGTATGTTGATGGTGACATATCGATCTCAAGTGTATACATAAGACAAAAATTACATATACTTATTCTCTGACACACAAACACATGATAACCCATTAATGAATTTCCTATACTTATTATGACAGTCATGATTAGCGTAGTCATTCCTGTAGTGAATTACAACCTTACGTTCTCTTTTTGGTGATTCATGTCACTTTCGCTGTCCTGACCCCCCCTCCCCCGATTCATTACTCCCCATCTTTTTCCATCCTTCCCTTAGCCATTCAGCTGCAGCGGATACAGTTTTATATTTTTTGGGTAAACATTGGTTTAAACCCTAAATTTTTTTCTTCTATGTTATATAAACCATCAGACGTAGCATATATTGACAATTTCAGAAATTAAATACAGTACAATTAAAATTGAGGTGGCAATGACGAATATAATTGAAGGAATGTGAAAAATTTAAATAACTTTCTGATGGGTTATTTTTCACTGTAGCCTTTAAATATAGTGAAATAAATATGTATGTGGCTTATGCAAAAAATCTCCCTGGAGACAAGGTGCAATTTAATTTAACTCATTATAAGTAATAACTGAGATACAGAGTTTAGAAGAGAGAAATATATGATGCAGGTTAACCATCGTCCCGGGAGATATGTGAGCACATTTTTCTTTTTTCATATATTGTACAGGCAAGTTTGACCACAAATTTTTTTTTACTCATTTGTATTATACAAAGACAATAAGATCATGTTAGAGACAGGAACAGTAAAAGCGAGATGGGGAGAGTATGTAGTACTACACACTGATAAGGATAGATTAGAGGTATGAAACGAAAAGGTAATACAGATCGAAATGCCAATTTTGGAAACAGAGTTTGAGGCAACTGTGAGCAAAAAACAAAATGATTATGCTTGTAGGGTTCATCAGCTTCCAGCAGAATTTATAAAACAAATTAGCAAAAAATGGATAAAATGTTTGACCTTCCGAGTGATTTCAGAAAATAAATATTTGCATTATTACCTAAAATCTAGGACCATTAGAGTTCACCCAGTTTAGATCTATAAGCTTAATAAGTCATGCATGAAAAGTTTTATTAAACATAATTTTTAGAAGAATAAAGTTATCTGAAGAGCAAAATGGATTTAGAAAAGGAAGGGAAACTAGAGAGGCTACATTTGGTTTGAGAATTGTGAGTGAAAAAACTTTAGAGCTCCAAAGAAATCTGTAATCTGCTTTATTGATTTTGAAAAAAAAAAGCTTTTAATATGGTAAATTACAATAAACTTAGAGATTTTATAAAAAAAACAAAATAGGCATTAATGAAGGAGATATTTGAATTTTAAAGAATCTTTACTGGCAACAGGAGGCTGCAGTGTTAGTAAATAATGAACTTACTAATTGGTTCACAGTTAGACAGAGGGCAAGTAAGAATCTTAAGCCAAGTAAACAATGTGTATTTGCTAGAAACAAGGATAATACAGTACTTGGGTTCATTCAAAGGAGTGTTAGTTACAAAACTAGAGAGGTTATCCTGAAACTATATCTTGCGCTTGTGAGACCTCACTTGGATTATGCAGTTCAATTCTGGTCACCGTATTACGGAATGGATATAGAATCCCTGGAAAGAATTCAGAGGAGAATGACGAGACTAATCCCGGGCATTAAGAACCTCGAGTACAGAGACAGGTTAAAGCATCTTAATTTGCACTACCTCGAAAGACGTAGAGTTGGAGGCGATATGATAGAGGTGTAGGAATGGAAGTCAGGGCTAAACAAAGAGGACATTGCAAAGTTACTCAAACTATCCAACCAGGAGCGAACCTGTAACAATGGTTCTAAATTAGACAGATTTAGGTTTAGGCGCGAAATAGGTAAATATTGGTTTGGAAATAGAGTAGTGGATGAGTGGAACAAGTTACCAAACATCACTTTTCACTCGAATACGATGGATAGTTTCAAACATAGGTTGGATGGATATATGAGCGATAGGGGTTGGGTGTAAATGGGACTGCCCAGTAAAGGCCAATAGGCCCGCTGCAGTTTCCGCCAATCTTATGTTCTTATGTTCCAACGAAGGCAAACTACTGGGACTCACAATAACAAGAACAGGCATAGCAAAACACATGAAACAACGCAAATCGCTTACTCAATCACAACTCACAAAACTACGAAGACTCAGCAAAATGGACACCAACATTCAGCAAAACCTATTCAAAGCACTTGTCCGCCCCACTTGGCGTATCCACCAATACCTCTCAGCACGATCAGCAGTACCAGTCAACTTAAACTTCAATCAGTACAAAACAAAGCTATCCGTAGAGCATCAAAGCAACTCCCCCCATACACCACCAAAATACAAGAACTTCACGAACTATACAATATCGAACCACTGAACACACGTACACACAGCCAAGCTAAGTGAGTTTGGAGCAAACTTGAAGAGTTGGAGGACCCAATATTCTCTCAGTTAAAAGAAAAAGAAAGGACAAAAACACACAGCTGGTGGCCCAAGAGCCTCCATGCTAACAGAGAAGAACAAGACCCACTTTACACATATATGTGAACAAATAACACTACCATTTAACAAACATAAATTAACACCCATTACACTAATGAATGCCTAGCTAGCTTAGCTCCCCCCACCCCTCCCAGCCTCCCTTGAGCGATTAGGCGCCTGCTGTGTGTGGCCACCACACCCAACGAATCACCTCGACTCAGCTTGGTGGACAGCCCACCTGCTATCACTCCCTACTGCTTTACTTCCCGTTTCTATTCTTTCCTTCTTTCCTCTTGTCTCTCATGGCAAAGTCATTTGCCACTTTACTTCATCATCATCATCATCATCATCATCATGTGAATTACACAAAAGTGCCTGGAAACTTCGTGTTTTCTTGATCTTATGAGGTTATCAGCATATATACAATATATATATATATATATATATATATATATATATATATATATATATATATATATATATATATATATATATATATATATATATATATATATATATATATATATCGTGTAGATCCACAATGGAAACGTGGATAAGATAAATCTTGATAAAATCACACAGGAAAAAGGGAAGCGATGGAGCACCTTAGCTTTTCGTCTCAGAATTAAACAGCACAAGTACAATATTAGAACAGCATCTGAAAGCAATGCGCTTTTCGTTCATAGAAGGAACAATAATCATCCCATAGATTGGGAAAAGTTTAGAAGTGTATAAATCATCGTGTGTCATAGAAAGACTTCTGGTTGAATCATGTTTGATTAGAGAAATCTAATATACTATAGGACTAGCTGTCTGTCTGTCTGTCTGTTCTGGGCAGCCGAAACGGCACAATCGTTTTTCATCAAATTTGGTGGAAAAATCGCAAAAAAATCGTAGAGTGGAACAAACCTGGTCCCATGTCGATGGTTTCTTTAGGAAAGCATTAATTAACCTTTTTATTTACGATGGAAAATGATGCAAGTCCACGGACTTGGGGCTCCCTAATTAACCATGCAAGTCTACGGACTTGCATTGCCCTCATTCGCTGTACGTTGTCAGTCGGATACAATACAGTACAATACCATACAATACCATACCATACAATACAATACAATACACAACGAACTATAAATATTTGTAAGAATAAAACATAATTATATAGACATGTAAGACTCACAACTTGATAAGATATCCGTAAGACATTAGCTATTGGAAATGTGATTAAATGTTTTGTTATTAATCCAGTGTGAAATGTATCGGTATTGATGGTACAATCCTAATGGTCTCTAATCCTGTTGATTAGGTGAGGTTAATCTGGGTTTATTGAGATTAAAGATAAGGTGTGGTGTTTATTCTACCTGTGTTAGTCTCAGGTACGACCCTTATTGTAACAATCATGACCATGATTATAACAACCACGACCATGATTATAACAACCACGACCATGATTATAACAACCACGACCATGATTATAACAGACATGATTATAACCCACGAACATGATTATAACAACCACGACCATGATTATAACAACCACGACCATGATTATAACACTTATAACAACCAGGATGCTACGATGAATTGATTATGAAAACCACGACCATGATTATAACAACCACGACTATGATTATAACAACCACGACCATGATTATAACAACCACGACCATGATTATAACAACCACGACCATGATTATAACAACCACGACTATGATTATAACAACCACGACCATGATTATAACAACCACGACTATGATTATAACAACCACGGCTATGATTATAACAACCACGACTATGATTATAACAACCACAACCTTGATTATAACAACCACGACCATCTGGAAAACGATGTCGCTGTACGCTGTCAGCCGGACGGCCCATGATCACTTGTCTAATATACTATAGGACTAGCCGTGTGTCTGTCTGTCTGTCTGTCTGTCTGTCTGTGTGTGTGTCTGTTCTGGGCAGCCGAAACGTCACAATCGTTTTTCATCAAACTTGGTGGAAAAATCGCAAAAAATTCGTAGAGTGGAGCAAACCTGGCCCCATGACAATGGTTTCTTTGGGAAGGCATTAATTAACAATTTTATTTACGATGGAAAACGATGCAAGTCTATGGACTTGGCGCACCCTAATTAACCATGCAAGTCTATGGACTTGGTGCACCCTCATTCGCTGTACACTGTCACGAGCGTCCAAACTTTCACAAGGGCACGAAGGGCCAGCGATCACTTGTTAATTCTATAAACCTCAGTGATGGTCAATAAAACTGATAATATGTTACACAAATTTATTTGTCAATGGCCCATGGTTAAATATGCTTTGAAATCATTTGAGGTAGATGTAGGATAGATGATTAGTGGGTCTCTTATATTTTTTACCTGACTTAACATGACTAGTTACATCGCCATTTCTTATAAGCTCCTCTTGTGCTTGCAGTGGTGGCGGTGTGTGGCCCTAAGTGGCCTAAGTGAAATTATGACGAGAAGCATATCGATGCAGAGAGGTATACAGCAGTGCAGCGAGACAATAGTCAATAGGATTGAAATTGTATGATGAGAGAAATAAAAATGGAGATTGCATGGAACTGACCATCTGTTGGAGTTCGACCCAGAGTTGTGAAGTACGGGAAAGGACGATGCCATTCTGCCGCTGGAAGAACACCACCTGCTGACACTGGAACACCCCTGCGAACCTCTCGTAATCTGTCGTGTGCACTGTGAAGTCGTAGCTGCCTGCTATGTCTGGTGGTGAAGGAGGGTGTAAGTCTAACTCTCTCTCTCTCTCTCTCTCTCTCTCTCTCTCTCTCTCTCTACAATAATGCATATACTCACTAAGAGGCCATTGGACTACCATCTTGGCTGGGGTGTTTGGGTCAGGCCAAAGTGTGGCTGTGGTGAGTTTAGAGTCAGAGAGGCCTACGTTACTCAGCACTCCGGCACCTTTAGCCTCCCTCAGGTACCAAGTGCCGTTTACGACGCCCTTCGTGATGTTCCAAGTCCGGCATTTCTCCCTCTCGTCGAAGCTCTCCGTCACGTACCACAGGCCCTCGAACTGGTGGGAAAACAAGACATCGTGTTAAATTCTTACTGTGACTTGTTATATGAAATAATTCTCAATTACATTGGTAAGTGCTATTATGTCTCACGTATAAGGGTTCCTCAGGGAAAAAACAAAAACCACATTTGGTTCTGCTGTGTTAAGAGGTGATGTCTTACATTATGTTTACCTTGCTTTAATGCTGTCTATTCTTCCCTCTGAACAGTTGACGAAAACTAGACCTCGTGTTGAAATGCTGCTTTGTTATGATATACTGTAGGTCTCAGACGTTAAGTCTAGTAATGATAGAATTTCAGTGCATTCTCAGCCTATATTGTCTATCATCATATTATTTTTGCTTAAGTCAGCCAATTGGATACTTTGTCACGTCACCAGAAAGGGTCTAAACCGGTTTACTTGCAAAACTTTGAGATTCTTAGCAAGGTGAGTATCAGCTTCTTCTGTGAGAAGTGTTGGTGATTTGTGTAAACTTATGTTTACATTGAAATCTATGTTTTATGTCTACTCCTCACAGAGAAGGACATAAAGATTTGCACCAGTCTGTTCGTATGTCCGTTTATCGATACACCCATACGTCAGTGCAACAGACCTCTTCACTTCCGCCCCATCCAAATTTCTTAGTAGATTCATTTAAAAAAAGATATTCAGCATTGAAACTTTAATGGCCTCAGCATAAGTCCCTGTAGATTATCTCATTACGATTCTACCGTGTTTCGTTGACTTTTAGAGTAGTTATGACAACCATGTCTTCCACTCAAAACTTTAGTCTTGAAACAATCTGGAAACTGATGTCACCTGTTACTAAGTTATAAGTACGGCGGTGTAAGTAAAGCAATGTGCTACACAGACACATCATCACACAAGTAAGACAGATGAGACCCGGCACACAGATGAAACGGCGGAGACATCATCACACAGATGTGCGACAGTACGACGCAGGTGAGACAGTACCACACAGGTGAGACACAATACCACACAGGTGAGACACAGTATCACAGGTGAGAGAGACAGCACCACACAGATGAGACACAGTACCACACAGAGGAGTAACACAGTACCACACAGGTGAGACACAGTACCATGTGAGACACAGTATCACACAGGTGAGACGCTGTACCACACAGGTGAGAGACACAGTACCAAACAGATGAGACACTGTACCACACAGGTGAGAGACACAGTACCACACAGGTGAGTTACTGTATCACACAGGTGAGAGACACAGTACCACACAGGTGAGACACTGTACCAGTGTACCACACAAGTGAGAGACACAGTACCACACAGGTGAGACATTGTACCACACAGGTGAGACACTGTACCACACAGGTGGGAGACAAAGTACTTCACAGGTGAGACACAGTACCACACAGGTGAAATACAGTACCACAGATAGTAGGTAGTAGGCAGCTACCAAACAGGGAGGTACTACAGCCTAG